CTAATGTTTAGGGAGGAGCTGGGTAAATTGAGAGAAAACCTAGATACAGCCCACCATTACCTAATCTTCCATTAGCTATCTTCTTTCCAAATTATCTTGCTAGTCCCTTTATTTCCTGTGACTCATGATGTGAGACACATACCACAAAACACAACTCCAACTGGGAAATCTCCTAATTTAGCTAGAAGAATATGGTGAAAGCTGGATGTTTAAATGTAGAGTGGAGGAAATCACCTATTTTCATTGGTAATTAAGAGTTGCAAACTTAGACAAAAGGGTACTTTTCTGGAGGATCCTAGTGGGTTTTCTCCACTGAAAAATATGAAAATTTATATTCAGTTTACTCCAGAATGCTTGAACAGATCTTGGTGACATCTGTTTGCCAAGTGAGAAATGGGAAACAATTGCTGAAGCTTCCCTAGAACTGGAGGCTCAGATGTGAGCCTTAAAGAATGCAGCCTTTGCTTTCACTAGTGCAAGTAAGGTCTTAATTATGAGTAAGGACTTGAAACATATGCATGAGAAGGAAGGAATCTAGTAAAGCTGACCGTACACTGTGTTGTAACACAAGCCTATTGTGGCTCCAAGAGGTTGTAAGAGTGGCCCTCAGGGATGGGACTGTAAGAAAGCTACATGAGAAAATTATGGCCTCCCTTAATCTGGATCCCACAGTGAAAGTCATCCAAAGTGCAGGACTTTTCCAGGCTTTAGTCAACATATAGTGACAGGGAGGGTGGCAGTTTATTAAAAAATTTGGTCAAGGAGATTCTCTTAATTTTCTTAAACATTCATCCAGTCCTTAAAAGGTGAAATAGCCACAATATTGAGCTTTATTGCAAGTTGTTTTTGCAAAACTGAATGAGTATTAAATTTTCAGATCTACACTTCTGAAGTACACTTTTCTCTGATGATCTGCAGTCCCTTCCTATAATGCAAATTTACACAGTTTTTAGCGGGACTTATTCCCAAACCAAGAGGAAAAATTACTTAATTTTTTTTGCTAATTATACCATTACTTATGCTTAAAATCAGGGAAAGCATTTAGGTAGAAAATTTGACCCTAAACTATATGTGGGAGGCAGGCTGCCAAGAAGTACTGAAACACATGTAAGTTTTGTTTTCTTAGCAGGAAAAAGAGCAATTGTGAAAGCCTGGGGATATCTACACTGGGTGGTAAAGCTAACAGCAGAAAATCAAAGAGATCTTAGCACTAAGCCAACAATGTAACAAAAAATAGGAGTCAGCTCTTCATGGCCATGCAGATTATCACTCTGATAAGAGTGTGATAGAGGGTAAGAACTCTTTCCCAGTATGATGTTGACACTGCATAAGCTTTAATCTGTTGTTCTTTGGCTTTCGGATCTCTTGCTTCGCAACACAAACACTAACAAATCGACAAAAGCTGTGTTTGCACATTAGAGCTACTTGCAAACTAGCATTTCAAGTTCAAGTTTGGACATACAAGCACACAAAGCAAAATGAAGTGGAAAGCTGTGATTTTAATGGGGATTTAATCTCTTTTGTTCTTTGACCTTTTGCGGCTCTCAGAATACATCAACGCTTCTGTCGCATGAGTTGCCTTATTGGCTTAGTTCGTGCTGATACAGCCAAGCAAGCATTCAAGTGTGACTGCACTGCAGGGTTTGATGGTGTATTGCACTATTTCTAACAGCAAGTACAAGAGTCTTATCAGCACTACCCAGTGGGGTACAGATCCCACGAATCAGCCCAGGCCCAGATGCATTCCCAGGTTCAGTGACTCCTGCAGCTGGACAGAAAGAGCCTCAGAGCTCAGTCAGAAAGTAACTTTAGAAGGAATAGCTCGAGCAGCTGGCACTGCACTGAGTCTGGGGGAACAGCCAAGCCAGCTGAGTATCTGTTCTGGAGAAGGTCAGAGAAAGGCAGAACAGCACTGAAACAGGACTGTAACACAATACTATCAAGTCTGGTTATTAAGAAAACAGAATACTGCATTTTATGTGTATATAATAGGGGAGGTTTATTTCCCCTTCCCTTTTAAGCCACAAAGCTTTCTCATCTAAAAACCCTGTAATGGAAGTCTCCCAGTCAAAAGTGCAACAAGAATTTAATAACTACAAAAGGAACCCACAGGAGGAAAAGAACCCACAGTAGGAGAAATTAGGGCCACAACAGTGATCAGTCAAGATGGACTCAGCAATACTTTGTGGATTACCTGTGTTATAAAAGGTCTAACTATTTCACCAAACTATTAAAGAAAAAAACCCAATGACTAGGCTTCTGACATTTCTCATAACAATCTATCTCTCACCTGAACCTGCTTTTCAAAAATTCAACTGGGTACACTCTAAAAATGATACAAAAGAAATAAACTGGGAGACTCTTTCCAAGCATTTTTCCATCCAAGCTGAAATTCTGAATAGTAGCAGTGACATCTGCAATAACAGGAACATTATATGGAAAAAAAAAAGACCTGGTAAGGGAAAAAGATGTCACATTTGTAGTTGAAATCTGAGAAATTATTGGTATCAATGCTTAACATTGTTAGAAATCACCAAGAGAAAAATTCCTGGTTATTGATCAACTGCAAAAGAGACTTGTATTTTGTAGGGAACAGATGCAACATAAAAACTGCAGGTGTAGTGTTCTGAGTTTTTCATGTAAGTGATTCAGCCCCAGAGGGCAAAAAAGTGAAACCTGTTACATTGAAAGAATCAGCAAAATTTAGGTGTGTACTGGGTATTCAAACATATATAGATGTCTAATTTCAAAAACCTTCATCTTATAGGACAGTGAGTTGTGATGGAAGAATTTTCCACGTGATCATGAAAAGTGTAGTAGAATGAGTAAATGGGAGTTTGGGGAGAGAGCTGCTGCAGTCATTTGGGCCTGATCATATCTCAGATCAAAAGCCTCAGATATTATCCATACATAATGAGGGTTTCTAAAGTTAAGTCTTGACATATATAACAGCAGGAATCCTTTCATCTTCCTTCAGGATGATGTTTTTATAAGGCAGGTCTAGTTTTCGTTTGGGTATTACCTCTTTACCGCAACTATGCCACAGCTGTATTCAGAGTCTGCTTCAGCCAGTTCTCATTTTTACTTTTTGACTGCATATTTCTATTTTGGGAGACCTGAGGTAGGAAAAAAACAAAAACAAAAAAAAAGCCAGATGACCAGAAAGACCCTGTCTTAAGCATGGGATACGTCCACTTATATCTGAAAATTAAGTTGTGTGACCTGCAGTTGCTTCAGAATTCCCAGAGCAAAGAAGCACATTGGACTGCCAGCTTGTACCATCTGTCAGACATAATCCTCACACTTCAGAAGGCTGGATTTCACACAGTTAATAAATTCCATCCAAATCTCAAAGTGTTTCACATAGCCAGCTGAAGAATACCCCTGATAAGGCGTGCTTGTACAGCTTAACAGACCTCCATGGAATGCCATGCCAGCTTTTCCATGGAAGGAAATAGAGATAATGTTCCTGAACAGTGAATGTTGAAACCAAGTGATTAAATAAGAAGTAAATGTACTGCAGAAGACTAAAAAGGAAATAACTACTGAAACTGAACTAATATTTAGAAAAAGCCACTTATTTCAGTCACATAATGGTACTGGCAAACCCAGTGCCAAATATAGAAAAGACAATGCATCACAGTAAGGAAAAAAATGTTTCTGCATTTTTGTTCATTTTGTTTTTTCCAAAAGAACAAAATCCATGGAACTGCTTTTGGAAAACTATCTTTAGGCATTAGAAGGTAGCCATCTGTTTTCCTTCTCTTCTTTCATCAAAGACAAAGCAGATTCACAACATCCCAAGCATCCCCATACTTGCACAGAAAGATAATTCTATATATTCTTATTTATAAGAGGAGGCCTGAAAATCTTACAATATTGCATCTGGCTGAATAGCCTTCAAATACAAAAATATGTGGAATTCCCTGCTTAGTGCCACCCAGCCCAACAGTACAGCTCAGACTGTGAGCTGAGAACATGAGCTTGGGGCACTGTCTGAGGCCCCTTTCTTTTCTATTCTCCAGCACCCAGAATTGTTGTATCAGGAATGTTAGAGGATTAAAGCTTACCTAATTCTTACAAAGTCCCTATATAAATTTCTTGTCCTTGAATTGTCTAATCTTCTTTGAATGTCCTGACACACAAAGAAATACAGGTGGAATAGGCTGAAAGTCTTCAAAGAACACTTGTAGATCCTTCTTGGATCCCACAAATATTGTTTAGAGAACTTATATTCTAGTTCTATATTCATGCTATATTTCAGGAAACTGTCCTTATGTCACTCTCCCAAGGTCTCCCTTTGACCTAAGGGTTCAGTTCTCCAACCTCTGAGAATACAGATTAACCTAACTAATTTAAATTGTTTTATCTGGAAATGGGATAATTCAGTGAAATTGAAATTAATTCACACAAATGTATCTGACAGAATTTAGCCTGAAGCATGTAGTAATGTGGAAAAATAAATAATATTTTAATAAAACAAACTACTTTTTGTGGGAAGGAGAATGTTTAAAATGTTTCCAAGTCTTTATGTTTCCCACTAGTCTCTCTTGGATCGTGGCAAAAACTATAAACTTCAGAGGCCAGAAGTTTTTAGGCTACTTTAACTTTGTGTGAGTCTCTATTCCACATGTAGTCCAGTGTCTCTGCTATTCCTGTGTTTGCTCATGGCATGTTAGAAAGTTTACGAGTCACTGACCAATACTTCTGTCCTGGCATTATAAATGAGCATGGCCTTTTCTGCTCAATGTTTGTGTAACCAGGTATTGTCAGAATGGCTAAAGAAGGTAGCAAATACCAATGTTGCAGTAACCAGGAGATTCACAGCTACACTGAATCAGCTTAGTGAGAAAGAGTTACAAGTCTCATGAGTAAATAGCTAGAAAATATTTCTACAGAAAGATTTCTATTATCTGTTTTCAGCTGTTTCTATGAAGAAGCAGTTTCAAGGCCATAGTTCTTTCTAAACAATAATTAACGATCCACATATTACAATAATATCTATTAGGATTTTTTTATTGCTACTTAGAGATCTGAACTGAAAATCTGATAAAGATATTTCTTTATTTTGTATATTCCTACATATTACATGACAATAGCAGCAGAGATTTAAATGAGCCATTACTTGTGAAAACACTGTTACTAATTAAAGGACAAATAGACTTTTAAAATTCACAAATTCAAAAATAAAATGGAAATTCTGTATCTAGTATAAAACTTTTAGAGACATCTGAGTTGATATCACTCTGGAAGTTTAGCACAGATACATACTGCTGTTTTACTCTACAACTGTCAGTAAAAAACTTTTAAGAGTATATAAATGTGTTAGCAAAAGAAGAGTTAATCCTTTGAGGACAAAATTTTATCCATTATTTTGCTTAAACTTCAACTTGTGTATACCTGAAATTGGACTTAGGTTCACAAATACAATTCTTCATATAATTTACATAAACAGTAAATTATACAAACAGCTCACTCTTTATTAGCTAAATTGACCATTTTATAGAAACAAGCCAAAGTATAAATACATGTATTTTTGTATCTGCATACAAACATACACATGAAAGTGTTCCCAGGTTTCCTGTGGGAACCTTATCCCTTAATGTACCCTGAATCTGCATTTGTTAGTTTGAAATCACGGAATTAATCTGCTTTTTTATTTGTTTGTTTATTTTAATATGGTGTTTTATAGAATACCCAGACAAGAAAAGAAGGAAACTGCTCTCATAGTGCTACACAGTTTTCATGTCCTCAGCTTCTGAAACATTTAAGACTACTAACTTGATGGCAGGCTCCCAAGGAATTTTAAGGCATCTGTGCCTGTGCTACTTATTTTAAGCTCTGTCTTCCAGTGTTATGAAATCTCAAACTCTATTGAGAGCAAACTCTTTTGACTTTCTTAGTAATTCCATTTCATGTGGTTCTGGCTTTTAGGCAGATTCAAGAATGACATAATCGCCTTTTCCCACCCACAGGTTTTGCACTGTTGCTGTTGGTTACAACCTTCCACATAATGTGCAACATGAATCCTTGTCTGATCCCATATGCCCAGAAATGGAATACAGCCCAGCAAAGAGGACTAAAGCACAGTTTCTTGGCTTTCTATCAATCACCATAGGTTGAATAAGGCTTCTTCTGGATTTTCCTCTCAATTGATATTATTTTAGCTACAGTGCAGCTCCTGTCAGTCCAAAGTCATGCTACTTCCAAAGGACGTGAACCAATTTCCCAATAAACTTTACCCATGTCACTGAAGCAGGTATTTTAAATGTAGTAGCAGAGAATAAAAAACCTGAAAGTGCTCCTTTTGTATTTTTTACTATAGCATTTATGCAAATGCACTCAAAAAATATAGAATTCTTCATTTTCATTTAAAAAAATGCTAGAACTTGGCTAGTATGCATTCATAAGAGCTATTGCAATCGTATTTTGCATTATTAATGGTACTGGATTACGTACCAAGCTCCACAGCAGCAGGATAAAAAGCACTTTCTGGAGTTTGTTATCAACATGAAAGAACAAGAAGCAACCTGCAATCCTGTCTCACTGTCCAATCTCAGAGTCTCCTGGCTTACCTGAAGACTACAAGAGTGTTTTTACATGAAATATGGCACGCTAACACAGCATAGGGAGTATTTCTTTGCCCTTGGAAACTCTCCAGAAATTTTGCTTTTTACAGTTACACTTTTCATGCTTGGTCAGATTTTTAAGTAACGCACAGCATTGTGGCTACTCAGTTCTCTCAAATCCAGGACTACTGAAAGGCATTGGCTCAGGTCAGCTTCAGGGCAATTTCATAGGCAATTATATTGCTGCTTTAAGAGCTGGCACTGAACTGCCAGGCAAATAAAAAAGCATGTATCACGCTCAAGGAAACACTAGTCCATGTCCAGAAGAAATGGAGAAGAATGCATCAAGTTATGACCATTCAAAACAAATGATCCAGCCTGGAAAGATAATGGATTTCCTTGTCTTCTTCAGCAATGAGCCAATTCTGGAAAGAAATTACAACTGGGCAAAGACTCAGCATCAGGATGTGCAGACTAAAGACAGAAGACAGAGTTCTCATGGGGACCTTGTCATAATCAGCTACATTCACAACTCTACTGGGCCCTCTCCTAAGCTCTGTGCTGCTGAGAGTCGTGCCTTTCTCTCACTCCCAGCAGTGAGGGATAATAAATTTGTTTGCTAGAACAGATATCTAGCAGGAAGAAACCTGTGAGATAGGCTGGAAAATGAGACAAACTGTTTGTGATGACCAATACAGAGTGAAATCCACTGCAATGGGAATTCCATGTGAAATGTATCCTGATGATTGTTTATTTCTCTAGACTCTTGTCACAGTGCAAGCCAAAGTAATATTTTTGTTTCTGTGATGAAAATTATCTGGCTAATAAGTTACAACACTCTAAAGAAAGAGATAATTTGAAAATCCTGTAAAATTCTACCTTGGTGTTAAAAAGTCCAAGACACTCTAATACACATTCTCTTGAGGCAATGGTTAAGTTCTAGGAAGTTTTAACAAATTGATCTGTCCTTTGCTGACAACATAAAAGAAAAGACTATTTAGCTGAATAAGGTCTTAAAATTTTACTAAGTCTTTTTAACTCTACCTATAATGAGATTTCTTTCTTCTAGTAATTCAATTATTGTTAATGGGTTTTCTGATACTAAGAAAGAAAACTGATTTTATCTGCAGTGGAATTGTAGTAATTTAAAATATTAAATTCACCCATCCACATTAGCAGTGACATTAGACATTTTAGGTTGTCATTAATGACATTACACCAGCAGTTTTAAAATTCTTTCACACCCTATATATTTTTACAACACATAAAGCCAAGAGTAGCTATGAAAGTATCCAACTTCTACCATTACCTCATGGCAAAAAGATGATATTTCTCTAGAAAGATGATAAGAGTTTTTCTAAACAGTCAGGTAGAAGGTTGATGCGATGATAGTCTGTGTCAGTTTATATTTATTTTCTGGAGCATCTCAAGGGTTAAAATCTGGAGTGCTTATCCAACCTTCCCTAACAACCATATTTGTGGGAACACTTGGGGCAAGTTCTCAGTTGCAGCCATCACCCCGCAGTGGTCAATCTTAATGGAAACCCAAGCTTGAATTGCTGGCTAGAGCTGAGCATACACAATAAACATTTCCTCTGCTAGGTTTAACAACAGTCTTGTTAGGAGGTCTGCTTTTTGATAATATTCTCAAAAAATGCTGTCAAATATTTTGCAAAAACAAAGCACGTACTTATTCAGCAGCATATTCACACAAAGCTAAAGCTGTTTTTTAAAAAAAATACCCAGTTAATCAACTGACAGAGAATACCAGATCATCCACCCCCACATCAAAACAATTTGCATTGAAAAAAATACATTGCAATGAGTGAGTCATGATTAATTGTACTCCATACTGGACAAGTAAAAATTTTATTTGTCAAAATAATTGTTATTGTTAAAGCCATGTTCTCCTCACTCTGTTTTTAAAATTTCCTCATGTCCAGCGCAAACACTCCTGCATTTAAAAGAGCTGAATTTAGTTCTTATATTTCAAAAGATCAAAATAAAATAAAGTAAAAGAAGCCCTTGGAAATTTTGGCATTTTAGTATACCTAATAAAAGAATAAATTCCTATACTATATATGTTTCAGCAAGTGCCATCAATGTATCAAGGGCTTACACATCTCTTTTCCCATTTAAGTTTGCAATAAAATCTACTGACTTCAATGAGGGAAGTAAGAGCAATACAGGTTAACGTACTGAGAATCCTGTTGCTAATTTCCAAACACTTCAATACAAAGAGTGTTCATGGTACCTACATATTACTGCATATTATCATTCGGTTATTTTTCATTTCACTGGTGACATAGAAGAGACTACACTGTGTTGAGCTGCAGCTGACACTTAAATGTTGCTTTTAAACCATGTAAGATTTCTTACTTAAAAGTAAACTTAAAAGTTTGGGGAAAAAATAATGCTATGAATTAAATCAATTTTACTATCAGTTTCTGCCCCATAAAACATTTTTTTAAGATCTTCTTCAGATGGAAACAAGACTGTTTCATTCATTCATGGGCAATACTTTTGCTCCATGTGCATTTATATAAGTAAGAAGAATTTTGGACCTCGTTTCTATTACATCAATAAGCTTTTCAATTCCCTTTCTGCCTCCTTGGCTCTCCCAGTATATTTTGTCAAGGAACAAAGACTGGAGCAACTTCTCACGTAGACGCTGGCTCCTCAGCACTGAAACTGCAGATGCAGGGAATCTGGAAAAGCACAAAGAAATTCATCAGTTTTTGCCATTACTCTGAATTGCAGTATTTATGTTGTGGTTTAGCAATCAATTCTAAGAATATAGGCTGCAACTCAGCAAAGGAAGTCCATGCATGCCTAATCATATGTATGTTAATTGTATCTCTTACAGCTGTGGGATTACTCATACATTTTTAGATACATCCTGTCAATGTCTTGGACCAATGATATCTATTCCAGCAGTTTAATGTCTCATACTCAAACTGGGAAGAAATTATCAATCCTTTTACAAAATTAATAATTGAAAACTTACTCATTGATTCCTTGTAGTATTTTAAAATCAAGATTGTCCTCATTTCTGTCAAAGAAACCCTTATTGTCTATAAAGGCCAAGTGCCTTTGGTCATGCCTTCTCTGAACGATGTGTGTCAGGTCAACAGCATCCTGATCATTGCATTTCAGCTTCAGTCCTTGCTGCATGCAGGAATCCTCTTTGAGAGGTTTGAATCCACAACAATTTCTGTCTAGTCGATTATAGATCTAAAACAAAGTACAGCAGAGTGCCAAATGAAAACAATACCAAAGTACCTGGGGCAAAGTGTCACTGTAAGACATTGCTCTCTAACCCAACTTGACAGGAAAGTAAGCTCAGGACAAGTGTAATTAAAAACAGTGAAGCAGCAGTGAAGACCTGGTCTTCATACCTCAGGTACTGCTAAAGCAGTTTCTCAGACTGTGTATGTATTTTATCCATTTTATAGCCATGATCTATTATGTCAGTACAAATTCTTTGAAAATAATGGAAAAATACCACTGTGTAACTGGAATAACAGGATGGTGAATACAATTCTATTTCCCTTGTCAGAAGTTTTCTTTTTTTCTTACATTGTCTCTGCTGGAGAACAATAGAAATAGCACAGTCTGACACACATAGAGGATCTTCATTTTGTGGGACCTATAAGGCTAACAGTATGCAAAATAACTGAAAAGACCAGTGAGGGGCATAACAAACCATCAAAAGCTATAAAATGTAAGAACAGTGTACTTATAATCACAGAGAAGCCTCTCTGTGGTATATACTTTTATGACATGGTGGTCTAGACTATTTTTTCCTATGCAAAACCTCGATTATTCATCACACAACACTTAGCTGGAAAGAATTCATAAATCTGGAGTAACTTTGGTTAGTTAGATGTTAGGCATCTCTTTTTACTTGGTTGATTCTGATCCCTTTCATAAACAATGACAAGAATAAAGCACATCCAGAGCAATGGATGCCATTTTAGGATAACTATCTAATATAGGAAGGATAAATCACTCCTTGAAAGTCCTACTACCTCTTGAGAGTAGATGAGAGTAAATATTCAACATTGCTACAGCCCTGGGCACACAGATTGGCCTGGATTACTCTTAGAAGTCTCACCTTGGACTTCTACATGCCACACCTTTACCCCTGGGCATAGGAGCCCCCTTTAAGCTCAGGCAGCTCTGCCTGCATCTTAGTCCTTCAGAGGAGAGGGTGTGGGGGTGGTGTTTTGTGCTACTTTTCTGAGTTGTTGGTTGAGGTTCCTGCCTGTCAATCTTGGAGCTGTCTTGTCTATGCCTGATGCTCACAGGGCTACAAATGGAGCCTGTGGCTTTCACCATCCTTCCTGCTGGCACTGCCTCTCCTCCTGCTGACCCTGCCTGTCCTAGAGTTGCCTTTGGCTCCAGCTCATCTTCCCAGACAGCAGACCTGCTCCTGCTAACAGATGTTTAGAGAGTGGAGGTCTAGTCTGGTACATATAAGACTTGATGAGTAGGTAATCAAAGGTCAATAATTTCTTCTGTCCTTTGTTGTTTACTGTTAACTCTTCAAACTACTCTAAGCATAAAAGCATTACTGTTCACATAAGCCTTCTAAAATTAAAATTTTATTTCTGTACTTCCCAGCAAAATTAGGACTCCACCTGATGAAGAACTTTGTTGCATGTTGAAATAAAAGGGCCACCACTTCAATCAAATGAAAGCCTGGGAATTGGGTTTGTTTTGATTTTGTTTGGGGTTTTTTATACATAGTTCTATTCCTAGTTGTATTGCTGACAGTGTTTGTTTCCAAATATCAAAATCCTTGCGAGCGGAACAGACTTTTCTTCCTCTTTTTCCTTTTGTGAGCAGCATTCATAATCCTGAAGGCTGTAGAGACCCCCTTGCTTCCAGTGTTCTCTCTCCTGGGATTTCTTATTCAATCCATCCAAAGGTAAAAACGTAAAGTCCTTCTAGAAAGTCTCCTTTGATGTATAGACCCCATTCCTTTGCACTTCTCTGCATGCATTAAATAGAAAAGGAAATCTTGTTCTTACAGACAGCCTCTTCACAGCATCTTGCACCATTTCAGTGCTAAGACACAATGATGGAACACTGTGGAATTGATGCATATAGTTTGGCAGAATTTTCTGTCATATATTTATGTACATAAGAGGTCCAAACTCCCAAAATTAAAGAATCCATTTTGCTTGAGTTCTTGCAGGAGGTGAGTAAAGGTCAACTATAAGCATTTTATATCCTGTTCCTGTTTTACATCATTTGAAACCAGAGATTAGGAAGCTCTATTAGATGTGTCAAACCTATTCTTCTGAGGAAATTATGCTTATCAGAGAATGCTTTTCACCATTATTCTTTATTTCTGAATGACAGATATTTTTTTTAGCACCAAATCCTTTTTTAGCATTTTTTTTTTGTTTTCAAATTTTTATATTCTGCTGCTGATAAAGTCTGTTTTATCTGTGAGAGCACACAGATAAAACTGTAGTCTTTAAGAACTATGGGAGTCACTTTCATTCACTTTCTAGAATGCATGTTCTTGTCTGGTACGCAACCAGAGATATAAATCACTCTGATACCAGCTATTAGTACAAGAGTAATTTGTCTCCTGTAATGCGAAGTTCAATCCTGTTGTATCTTATTTTAACCAACCACTCCTTCTGAATAATAGAACAGCAAATTTATCATTCTTCAGTCACTGCTCTACTCCTTCTTTACTAAGTCACTCTCTAGGGTTTTTTAAAAAAAAAGGAAAATTATCCACTACAACTGTTACCTTGCTCCAGATTGCAGCTCACCAAAACCACTTCAGTCACCTCTTGGGGCTGGGGAGGTGCAGGAAGGACCACAGATTAAACAGAGATTTACACTTGTGAACACAGTCAAGATCTCTATTTGGAGAAACAAGGAGTGAAGGAGAAACAGTATGCCTGACTCAGTATGAAATAGATCAAGGCAAAAGCCTTTGCTTCCTCTTTTAAAAGAAATGAGTCAGTTAGGTTTCCTGCCTGATTATAAACTGCATTCTGGATATTTTAATCATAAGAAATAACCAGAAATAATTTCAAACTATGCAAATACTTCTCTTCCCCATTTTAAAAACATGAAATACACTAAAAATTACTTTTTCTAAAAATCCTATGTTTGATCACATGACTTATGAGGCAAATAGTCGTGTTCAGTAAACATTTTACCTGCAACAGAAAATCAAAGAGTGCCATCTTGGACCATTCATGATGATGAATTTCAGTACAGCCCCACTCAGTTCTGGGAACTTTACCATTCTGCCAGCATTTCTTTTTCAGTAGCTGCTGATATTGTCCCCATGTTAACCTCACTGAAGAATGGGTACTGTTATCTGTTGGACTCAGTGAGGAATCCCAGAGAATAACAGGACAGGCTTGACCACCTGAAAAAAGGAAAAAAAAATATTATTATAGTGCAATACTATCAGTTTTATTTGATTCTTCTTTAGACATTGCCTAAGCATTAGTAATGCTATGTAATAGTAATGTACTATTTTACAGATCTGGCAGGAGAACCAGCCAGGGACTAATATCTTGACATTCTTTGGTTAATGCAGTCTCATCCTACATCCATAAGCAGCCACCACAGGACTGGAAACATAGGCACAAATGCCTTCAATGGAAGACTTTCTTTATTTGAAGAAATAGATTAATGTACAAAATCATATACTAAACCAAATTAATTATCAAAAAGTTTCTAGGTAGGTTAAAAGCCTACAATGCCACTGTGAATCAACAATGTAACTTCCCTCTGATTGCAGTGAACTGCTGATTTTCAAGAGCTGGAAACTTATGTCAAAGGCGTTTTCTTTGCATAATGGACATAGAGACACCACAAATCCTACACTCAAAGTGGATTTAATTTTTTATCTTCCTATTTCAAACCTATAATATATTACTCCACAGCTCTGAAAGGATACATGAGAATACTAGAGAATGTGAACATAGCATGAATAAACAACTTGACAAGTTTGGGGCTTTTTACCTAGATATGAGATCTGTTTTGTATAGCAGATATTTTAGCCAAATTCTTTAGCTCTTCTGTGCAAAGAATATTCTTCTCTTCCCTGAAACTAAGACAGAGGAGTTGTCTTTGGTGAATTCTAGCTTTGGTGAGAACAAACCTCATCAAAGAATTTAAAATTAGCTTCACCAGTATAAGAACTGATAAATATATTTCACACAGGATCAAGGAACAGACAGATCTATCGTATTAGGAAACTCTCCTTTTATTCCTGATGCAATGCTACTGCTGCTTAAACTGCTAAGGACTCATGACTGACCATGGCTTGTACACATTAAAACAAAGAAATCCTTTATATTTTAGGGTGTGTAGATAGAAGATCAAAATCTGTCTTAGTACAGAGAGGAAGAACCATTTAACTGCAAAGCTTAAGCACTATTTACTAAAAAGTATTGGAACACATATAAAGCTCTAAAAATTATTCATATTCATCTTGAAGTTCATTGAACTTAGTCTACACTATTGCACAATTTATTGCATAGTTAAGTGCAGCCTAAATTGTCTCTCTGTCTTCCACATGCTCAAGGAGACAGAGACAGATCTGCAAAAAAGCTTTTAGAAGGCATGAGGTCCAGGTTTGCTTCTTCAGAAGCAAACCAGACAGAAAATAGCCCATGGAAAACAGGTATCAGTGCCAACAGCGAGGTAAAAGCTGCCAATGTCAATGCTCCATTTGTAAGCAGCCAGGACTGTGAAAAACAATCTCCACACAGCTGAATCAAAAGCAACTTCTTCAAAGGATGCTGACTGTTGTAAAACTGCAGGTAAGAAATTATCTTTGCCTGTACCTAGTATTGAAAGACGTGCAAAGTTCCATCTCCCATTCACCAAACAAGCATGACAGACCAGCCCCGCATGCAATCCAGGCCAAGAGAAAAGCCAGATCCTTCCCAAATCAGAATGTACCTGATCTTCTCTCTGCCATGGCTTGCACATACAAGGTAATCCTTCCAAAGCCAAGCCAACCCAGTTAACTTCCCTCCCAGCTGCCCAGGGTTTCCTTGGATATACAGAATGTGTCTTTCCATTATGGACATCAATCACTCTTTCTTTATGATCAGTATTACCTTTAACAGCACCATATTCCACACTCTCCTCCACTGAAAAAATGAGCTGAGCATTCCTGAAAACCAGGCTTCTCCTCTACTGAGGTGCCTGAATAAGTATTTAGGTAACTTATTTGGTAAATCCTACCCATTTCTCCATCTCTCTCACTCTGGCTCTAACACCTACACTATAGATATCTTCACTCAAGTTAGATAAACTATGGGCTAAGTTTCTTTTGCAAGAAAGTTAGAGAAAATCTATCTAAGCATTGGGAATTCTCACACACAAAATAAAAAAAAAAAAAAAAAAAAAAAGACAACATTCCTCAGGACCAAATCTGATCTATTATATCTCCAGTAACAACTTATGTAACTATTCGTGAATTCTTTCACAAATCAAATACATAAACAGTTTTCTAAGAAAACAAACATCTCCTGTCTACCCAAAAAGGACATGATAAACAATAGTAATATAAATAGTTGAAAACTATGAATAATATCATGCCAGTTTCCATTAAGATACAAAAACTTTTTAAAGACTAAGGTTAAATACAGGAAATGTTTGCAACTCAAAGGAAATGGGAGCAGAAAGATGATCAAAAAAAAAAATCTTTCAACTCTGAAATATAAATTGGATTACAGGAATATGAAACAGCAGCTTCAGTAAAGAGCTGTGACACAAATTTTTGACACTTGCAGGAGAAACATGAAGAGGCTGAATTAAAGCAGATAAGAGTCTGATTCACAGCAGCATGAATTGGCATGACCCCAATCAAATCAGTGGAGCTTTTCTTTATCTTTTTTTAGAAACCTCAGTAGGATTGGGCTGAAATTACCTCAACAGTGAAGAAATCTACAGCCACAACCTGGAAGGTGAAGCACATTTCAGAAAAAGTCCAGTGTATTCTGTATGTGCTTCTTTCTTAGTCAGCTTTACATAGTAACACAGAGGGGTGCTGCTTTTCTGTTGCTGCAACTGCACTGCATTGAATCTCACCTAGAGCTGATTTGGTTCATTTTATTTTTAACTGCTAATTTAGATCTATATATCTACTTTACTATCCAAAGGCAATCTTCAAAATTGCATGGGAAAGTTTTTACAAAACTCATGCTGAAACCATCTTCCTAGTAATTCATACACATTTTTGAACATCAAAACATTTCTAAAAATATCTTAGCTAAGTTGAATAAGCTAACACAGATGAAACCTCAGGCTCCTAAGGCTAGACCACCTCAAGGTACTCAAACTGCTTCATGTTCTGCTCCGTGATATATTACTGCATGGCTTCTTCAACACGGGCATCATCTTAAGATTTCCACACCCCAAATCACTTTGAAAATAAACTGCATGCTTCTGAACTTCATGTGGTTAGGAACCACATTTTGCTCTTGCAAACATTTCTCTCATCTTGTGCTCTGACTTATAGATACAGCACTTTTTTCTAACTTCCTTGAAAGAAAACATTTTCAAACATGCCCAGAAGATCAACACTAAAATCAGAAAATCTTTCATGAGGTAGTTAAAGCCCTTTCTCAAACTCACCATTGTTCACTCTAAGGCAGTACATCTCACCACTGTCACTTTTGCAAGAAGAGTTTAGTTGTCCATGCAATAGTAAGAAAGGATAATTTAGTGCTGGAAAGGAGAGGGACCAGCATACACAGCACAATTTTGAGAGTTTATATTTTTAGGGGAAATATAAGAAACAAAAGCAGAAAGCAGAGAGAAGTTAGGCCATTTATTTTTCTTTCTTCCCTAAGCACCTCATTGCAATGTTCTGTCCTGTGCTCATATGGATGTCAGTATTAAGGAATGTATGAAATGTGCATTAGTTGCTCTCTAGACTATGGACTGCATTATTGCTTGTACATTAAATTCTCTATCCAACAGAATACTGGAAATATGCTTCTTGTACCCCTTTGAGAGGTACAGCACTATGTGGAAGTATTTTAGAGCACTCTGAATGTATAAAGCAGTGTTAGGTTTTTATTCTTTGCCCTGACAGTGGTGATTCATATTGCATAATTTTTGATGGGATGGCAAGAGCAGGCTGATAGCACAGGGTATAACATAGAAAAAACTAGGACACCATTTCTAGTCATGCAGAGGCCAGTAAAAAAAAAACAAGTGCAACCAGTGGAGCTATCATGTCATTCATCTATTTGCACTAAACCAACAATGAAAGGTGTTACTCAAAGGGAAGAGTTTATTGCATATTTGGGGGAAAAACGGAGGTTCTGGACAAATAGTGGATTGAGTACACCACTGCTTATTATTCTCAGTTTATTCAGACTCAGGATATCAGAAAACCAGAGTGGAAGAGAAGTAGCCATCAGCACGCAGTAGTTCAGTCCCTCAGCAAGAGGTGCAACAAAACTGCATAGCAGCAGCTATTGTACCAAAAGCTAAACAAAGAGCCCAGCCTCACTGCTACTATCCAAGGAGCCAGAGCACTGTCCTTACAGCTGTCAGGTGAGACAGAGAAGCCAGCCTGCCCCAGCCCACAAACTCCAGTTGTAGCTCAAGCCTAACAAATACTGCCACTGTCCCAGCCCACAAATGCAGCTGCTGAGCTGGAGGCCATACATGCAGGCATTTGGCTTAGCTCCTGTGCAAGGCTTATTAAGGTTGGGCTGCAACACCAAGCAAGGTCACCTATGTCTCTTCTATTCCTCAGGTTAAGATTATGAAATAATGAAGTACCTTAGTGCTGTAGTATTACTGTGACCATCCAAAAACTCAGCACATAGGCGTCAGCCTTCATTTATTCCACAACAGAATTTTATGATTATTTCTTGGTGTTTTACAGGATTGTCCTTTTTTTATAGGTGTTTGGAGACATTTTTCTCATCTTGTAGGTAGCAATGGAAGTAACGAATGACTGTTTGTGTATGCACAAAATCATGCTCTTTTAGACTTTTATGCCCAGCCCTAAAGGACTTTTCCTACCTATACTAACTAGTCAGGCTTTTTACATCCAGTCAATTCATTGTTAAAGTATGAGAGAAAGATTTATCACACCTGATTTTTCCATCCAGGATGGATGATGGAAAAATTAGACAAGCCACAAAAAAAAAATCAGTTAACACTTAAAAGGGTTCACGATTAACAAGGGAAGGTGAGGGCAGCAGACAGGGAACTTGAATACAGAATTTTGCAAGACTTTAAAAAACATCAGTGTCAGATCTGTGGGAATAAGGGAAATAGAACCTGTACAGGGATTTACTAAGCAGTTCTTTGAAACTGCTTTTGACAAAATGAGTGACAGTTTTGAAAAGCCCATTTTTTAAGATTTTAATGCTACATCAAACATGTCTTGTTGGATCACATCACAACTGAGGCAAGCTAAAGGATGTGTTGGGGAGAGAGATATGTCAGCCCAGAAATAGTGTACACTCATACACACATGCACAGCCTCTAATCCTGCATTGCTTGCTTTCCCATGTGAATAACTGATTCACACAAGCCACTCTGTAAAAAATGTTACAGAGCCTACCTATCTTAACTGAAACAAACATAGGTCATTTCAATGAGCTAATTACTCATATTATTTTTAAGAATTATATTTTTGCTCATTTTCCTACCACAAATATTTTCACATTATGCCAGATACAAGCACGTACATAGTAAAGAGCTCAAGTAGTTACAAGGCATCTGAGTTCCAGCATATTTCCAGGCTAAAGAAATCATGAGAGACAAGGTGCAGTCACTGTTCCAAATGCTCTGTTCAGCCTTTAGCTGGAAAAAATGAAGTGAGACCAAAATAGCGTTATTTCTCTTCTCATCACCTAGCAACACTCTTCTTGCAATAGGAACTTAGCCAGTTATGAGAAAAAGAAAATTAGAGGGCAGAATGACACATTCTGTTCTAGACAGTCCAAAACATATAGTAAGGTGACAGATACTGAGCAACACAATGCACAATTAGCCTAATAGCAGTTTTCTGAGGTTTGCAGTCTGTCATCTCTGCAGCCACACTGTGCAGAGTTCCCCCATCCGAACAGCCTTAATGCCTTATGACAGCTCTATAGCAATAGATCTTGTTCCTAAAAATAAAATAGGCATAATGTATCTTCCATGCTCTGCAAGTATGAATAACATTCAGAAGCCTCCAAACTGTTGTTCCTAGAGATTCATTCCCATTGTTGTACAGGCTGCCAAAGGGAAGGTTTACAAAGCAGGAAGACACTAGAAATCACGATGTTGTCTTCCTGCTGTCAGACTTTAGAAAATTATTCTAGCATTAGTTTTTTGAGTTTCTTCTTTTTAAGAAATGCAGACTGATATGAAACTATTTGGTAGAAGCTGATTTTGAAGCATGAAATGAACAGCAAAAACATAGCTAGCTACTTTTGCAATGATTCATTTAAATGCAAACATAGTCCTTTTGGATTTGTGACTGTACAAAAATAGGACTTACACTGAAGATATATTTAAGAAGATAGCAATTTTAAAGTAGACTTCTAGCTCACATTACATGTCTGAATTCTACCTTTAATTTCACTAAAGGTTAAAAATCAACTTTTTAAACTGGAAATCTATCCTAATCATGTAACAGGCATATTCAGATATTTACTATGTGTATTTGGATATCTTTGGATAATATATAGATGTGTGCAGAGAACCTGAAAATGTACAGAAGAGTTCACTGAAATGTAGTTTTTTTGGTTTCGAACTACCAGAAGAAAGGGAAGCACTTTTTAAAAACTTTTCCATTCCCAAGGGGATTAGTGCCATTAAAGAAGACTCAAGGTTCTGCAGGCAGGTTCCCTATGGCTCCGAGTAGATGATCTGACCCCATTGCTACCACCTGAGAGATTAATTTTTGTGACAAGTTCCAACACTATTTTATTAAAGTTGATTCTAAAATATGAGAAATTTATTTTAAAACATCAGAAATACCCATTGAATTACAGGGATTCTGGAATCTCTCACCAGTTTCACTTCAGGCAGTCTGTACAACATCAAGCAATCTATGGATTGCTCTTTCTCTTTTTTCTTGTTCCAGACTCGTGTTAGGAAACTGTTACTACCCCCAGCAATTCTATCATATTTGAAGCAAACTTCATTCTCTGGTATTCATTCTCTGGACAGAATAACTGCACTGCAGTAGTTAGACACAGACACTAGCTTTTTTCCCCTGTAAAAACAGGTTTAGTTCTCAGGCTCACAGGAGGTAAAGAGGGTGGCTGCTGCTGCCCCATGGCTAACGCCAAGCGGGAAGGAAACCTCTGCACCCCACCTGCAAGCTGAAAACCACATGAATGTGTTACCTTGGAAGAACTCTGATCTCCTGCTTACAGAAGGTAAGCTCCTGTTTAGCCCCAAGATCCTGTCCAAATGAAAGGCAAACACCTCACTCATGTCGAGAGGTCTTTTGACAATTCCACAGTATCCCTGATTACAAGCAGTTCCCGTAGTGCTGGGACCTCTTGCAAATACTGCAAGGACTGCTTTGTGCGAAGGTACTTTTTGAATGCCCTGGATGGGAGAGTCTGCCAGCATGCGCATGTTTAGGATGTCATCTTTGCTCATCCATGAGGGAGGGCTCTCGCTATAAATCCTGATATTGCTTTCCTCAGGCTGGAGCTGTGCCTTTACAGCTTCAGAAATCCACCCAGGTCTCTGGTGACCTCTCTCCCTGATAGCCATTCCTTTATGCCTGTGTTCATCCAGTTGGTACTTTCTTGCCTCCAGAGCGATCGCCGGTCCCTTTGTGCCTGCGGCACGTGTGGCCTGCCCTGGCTGTTGGGCAAAGGCCTCTTCCCAGCCCATAAAAGTGGCTTTTGGAAAGTGCTGCCCATAGGACAAAGGGATTGCATTTTTCTTCCTGCGCTTTGGCTTCACTGTGCCTCTGATGTTGGCAGGCTTGCTGCGCTTGGACCGCAGGGTGATATAAACGACATTGGGCGGCAGCAAGGTCCCATTGCTACCAAGCTGGGGTTCCTGGAAATTGGGTGGTGACAGGGTGCCATCCAGTGGGATGCCCAGAAAAGGAGTTTGAGCTGCATCTTGGAGACTCCTGGAACTGATCTTTCGATGTCCTCCTTTGTGTTGCGGTACAACACGACCCACTTGGCTGACAAGGAATCCCAGGTAGATCACACACGCAGTGGCCACGAGCAGATTCCTCCTTGTCCTTGGGCGCCTGCAAGTCCAGAGCCTCAGTAGCCGTGAGGGCCACAGGCAGCAAATAAAGAAGTTTTTGGTTTTACTTGGCTGATCAAAAGGGGTCATTTCTCTAGTGAATCCACATGATGAAAACAGCATAAAGTCTTCTGTACATTCCAGCCAGGATGATGATGCATCATTTCCCTTCCCCAATTTCTATTTCTCGTTTTCCAAGTAGTTTCCAGCATGGGTGACGGACAGAGGCTACTGATATGCCTGGGAAAGTGGTCAGCACTAAGGATGCTGACACTCCACCTTCTCAAACTGTTAAATTCTTATCAGCCACCACAGAGGAAGTGATTGGCTTCAGAGAATGAATGGAGCCAGCTGCGTAAGCAAAGTTTACTGGCTTGTAGTCTAAAAGATCTATGTATCTTCTTTGCAAACTGCAAAAAGAAAATAGTAGCATTTCCTTTCATTACTCACACATAGCATCTGTAGCTCTATATTTTTCAGAAAAAAGAAGTTCTAGATGAGACAGTATGCATGTAGGAATTTGTCAGGACAGATCTTTTACTTTCTAATTACAATATAAATCAAACAGCAAAACCATTAAATACAGGCTCAATTTTCAATCTCAGCTGGATGTATTCCAGCATTGGAAGAAATGCTTGTCAAATCCAGATCATTATCTTTTTCTTAGAAGACAAAGTCTTCACTAAACCTCATGCTATGGAAATGCTGTAAATCATCCAAATATGAACCAGTGACTAGTAGTTAAATATGCACATATTCACTAATATAAAAATAAATTAGCAGTGCCAAATTTCCCTAGTTGACTATGAATATAGTTCCCATCATTCATAAACATACATTAAAGTTGAAAGATGGTTAATCCTCTTCACTCTTGTGAAGCCATAAAAATAATCTAGCTATAGTTTTTAAAATAAAATGACAGTGGCTTATAGATCCTTTCCAAGAAACAAAGAATAAGTGCACATTGTATATAGATTGCTATAAAAATAAAATTTCTTACCGATTCAGCTTGACACATCCTTTGTTCTGGTAAACTCCTTAGGTTAATAAAAGAAACTGAGTAAAAGCTGGCATCTAGAACATATTTCACTTTTAAGTGTGATTCACATTTAGGTATTTCATTGCAAGCTAAGAACTGTTGAGAAGCTAACTTTACTGAGAGGTTGTTGCATATGAACTGCTATAAACTTACATGAACTTCACGTTATTAAAAAAACCCCAAACCAAACAACCCCCCCCAACAAAACCACAGCAACTTCTATTTTAAATTCTGTAATGAAAAGTCCTGTGAAGTATGTGCCTTTCAAAAGTGCATTCCATCTATTTGTAACTCCTGAGAGCCCTCTAGTGCATTGCATGCAAATGTACTAAAGAAATTACTGCATTTAGGTTTTGGGGGTTTTTGAGTTTGAAATATTGCTCACTCCCTGGATATTTTACTTCTGAAAAAACAGCCACTTTTAAAATGTTATTATTCTGCTACTAAACAGCTCAGGAGTGTCTCCTATTTGCACTTTCTGGAGTGAGGCATAGCATAGTCCCTGTACAGCTGGAAAAGTTGGGGCAGACAGAAGCTAAGGGCAAACCTCTGACATCTGACTCCTTTCCTAGTCTAAGTATAAAATAATAAAATGTATATGTTTGCTGTAATTCAAGGAATGGAGATATTCTGTTTTCCATAGCTACTACTAAAGGAGACAGTTAAGAAGTTCGTTCATGTTTCCTATTGGTCCAATATGAATTTATAAAACTTTGTGAGTGTATTTTTTTCCACAAGACATCACTTATCCTTACTTTTTTTGTCTAAATATGTACTGTCAAGTTAAAATTTCAATATCCATGCCCATTAGCAGTAGAAGAACCTTCCTGTTACCTGTTTTTTCCAAATCTGAGGTTTTGGAGGAATTTGGATAGTAAGAAATCTCTTCATCCACTTCAGTTCTTCTCTCTTTCTTGCTTTAGTTCAAATTTGACTGATAGGACATATCCCAAACAAAGCCAATTTATTCCAAAAGCTCCAGACAAGTTGTTTTAGTTGGAAATGCATCACACTGCAGCAGTTGTTTTCAAATACTCAGTTCCTGCATGTACCCAGCACCTGTTTATTACAACCAAGCAGTACCAAAGCACTGTAGATTCCAGTTACTAACAGCTCTCCTCTGCTATAACAGTTATCTGAAATTCTCTGTAATCTATGTAATCTTTCTACTGCTACTCTTTAAATAGTATCTGGAGGAAATTATAAAAGGATATGGAGAGGCATTCTTCACTTCTCATTTCATTTGTAGTCTTGCAATTGTAATGTGGTATACATACTGATGTACAGTGTTGACTGCTGGGGTTTTTTGAGGCCCTCTAAATGTGATAATAGCAATTGTATTTCCTTTTTTGTTCTCATATTGAGAAGAGAAAGCTCAGATACTGGTATGTTCTTTGGAATGGATGGTGGTAGAAAATCAACTACATAGAATACAATATCTTGTTAGTTTAACAGGTATTTGCCTCTAATTTTGGAATTTTAAAAGGCAAAATATCAAGTGATTTTTTTTTTTCCAGCCCCTGTGGTGTAAAGCTCAAATGCAATGCCTTAGCAGATACCATAAAATACGGAAGGCTGTAATGACTACAGAGTAGTCTGGGAAAAAAAAAACATGTCATTGTGTTTCACAAGACACAAAGAAAATGGGGTTTGTTCAGTTGGGTACTATTCTTCTCTCTGGAATCATTCTAACCCAAAGCCACAGCAAAGCACTAAAGAGTACTACTAAGCTGAAATAGTACTTCCTCTGTGGTAATAAAATATTTAAGACAAACTTTCAGAACAGCAGTTGTTGTCTAACCAAATTCTGGCCTATATTATTTCACTTTGCTACCTACAGCTAGCCTGTATTATCTGTCAGATTTTGTATTTGTTCCTTGCTCTAAACTATAACTGTGATATTGCCATCTGCATCCATTAAAGTCAGCTCTCCATGTAATTTCTTTATATACCTATCTTTCATGGTCAGTATTATACCTTCCTAAGGTTAGGAATACAGGAATATAAAAACTAATAAAGGAAAATAGCAATGAATGGAAGAGGGGGATTAAGTATTTCTAGTCCTTCACAGACCTAGGTATACTTTTTAAATATGAATTAATAGCTGGATTAATTATTTGCAATTATTTTCTTCCTTTTTTTTCTTTTTTGTTTTGTTTTGTTTTTTGTTTAACTTTGAAATTCACCGACACTGACACCTACATTTGAAGAGGTTTTCTACTGGTGCTAAACAAGCTGCAGAATTTGAAGCAGCTGGTGGCCTGCACTACTCCTAACAGGAGGTCTCTGGCCTATTTGCAGAGACAGGTGAAGTGTGTCAATGCCCACCAGTCACAAGGTCCTGCATCTTGACTTCTCTTTATCCTTGGGCAACTGAAAGGATGTGGTTACAGACTAAGCTCCTTAATGTGTGTGCTCTTGCTTTCTATGTGCAAGCACTTCTATGGAAAAGGTTAACATTTATTCCTATCACTTTTTTTCTGAATAAAATAATGCAACACATACACTTGCTCTGCCTTTAGAATTTTTTTTTCTGCAGGCTACCTTTGCAATTATGATATGGAACATCATTTCTTTTAGATGCAATTCAGCCATACAGTTTCCATAGAGATCTTCTGCTGTTCATCTCTAAATGACACATGGACAGACATTTATGTTAAAATGATTGATAAATTGTGCATTCATAGCTTTACTGAATCCATACGACTGACAACTTATTCTCCAGAGAAACAAAGTAAGCCCCGATTGTAAATAATGCAGATTTGATTTGCAAAATATGAAGCATTACTTTAGCAGGCTCGTGCTGTGTTTGTAAGGAGATCAATTTGGGCTGCCATCTGGAAACTGTACTTCAAGAGCACAGAGAGAAATGTTTGCTTCGTGACTAAACATGCTGACTAATAGTCTGTGCTTTAACTACTCGGGATCAAATCCTTACAGGGAAATCTACAAAGACCTCTTCCTGACATCATGTAAAGATTCTTTTCCTACTTGATTTTGGTTGCCAAACAACACAGGGGCTTCCAGACCAACAGCTGGTACTTTTTATGCTTAAGAAAAATAAAAACCTGGATGCCCTGACCAGGCTCTGTGGTTTCCTTGCCTTGCTACACGCCACAGGACCAGCAGCTGTTGCACAGCCTTGGTACGTCCCTGCCTCCCCCAGATGCCTGCAACCCCCAGCCCTGTGACGGCCTCCAGCAGCCAGAGAGACCTGGGGAGTGAGAAGAGCTGCAAGGAGGCCATGCTGACCCCTCTGCGAGCAGCCCCACTTTGGAACCATGTCTGTGTTCCTGGGCAGGTGCCTTTTCTGGAACACAAGTCCTGTGAGGGGCAGCTGAGGGAGCTGGGGGTGTTTAGCCTGGAGAAGAAGAGGCTCAGGACCTTACTGCTCTCTACAACCAGCTGAACAGATTGCTTTAGCCAGGTGGAGGTTGGCCTCTTCTCACAGGCAACCAGCAACAGGATAAGTGGGCAAAGCCTCAAGCTCAGCTTGGGGGGGTTTAGGCTGGACATTAGGAAGAATTTCTTCACAGAAAACATTGCAATATAGTGCCTAGGGAGGTGGTAGAGTCACCGTCCCTGGGGGTGTTGAAGACTGGATGTGACACACAGCAGGTGACTAAACATTGGAATGGACACAGGGAGGTGGGGGTCTGTTCCCGGAGGTGCTCAAGACAAGATGTGGCACTTAGTGCACTCCATGGTCTGGCTGCTATGGTGGTCCTGGTCACAGGTTGGATTCGATGATCTCCAGACGTCTTTCCGAATCTAAATGACCCTATGATTCTTCAGTTACGGTCACAGCACCACCGGCCTGCGGAGCCCACAGCTGCACTTCCAGTAGGGAGGGAACTGTCTCATCCGGCGCTGACGGCCGGGAGGGCCAAAGGCGCTTTTATCACGACATTAGTACTTTAATTTAAGTTGTCTCTTAGTGATTCTTCCCCGCCACGGCGGCGAAACAAAAGCAGTGGAAAAGCTCCCCCGCCCGCTCCCGGACGTGGAGGCAGAGGCCAGTGGGAAGGAGCGGATGGAAGGAGGCGGATGGGGGCGGGCCGGGGCGCGGGGCGGCGCAGGCGCGGGCGGGCGGCCGCGGTGAGCGGCGGTGGGCCCGTGCGGGTCGGGGCACTTTGCGGGTCTCGGGGCTCTGCGGGTTCCGGCCGGAGTGGGCGCGGAGGGGCGCGGGCGGCGGAGCTGAGGCTGCACGGAGGGACGGGACCGGGGATCTGTCGGTATGGGACTGTCCCGGCCGCCTTCCGCCCCGGAGCCCCCTAAAACTTGCCGCGGCGCTGAGCCGGGCACAGAGCGCTGGGGAATGAAGGCGTCCAGCTGGAGCGGGTCTGCGCTGTCCCCTCGGGCTGCGGTGCCGAGCAGCCGGGCTGCCCTGCGCGGCGGCCGGGGCCGAGGCCGAGGCCTGGGCCGGGGCCCGCCGCTGCCCCGGCGCGGTGGTGTCAGTGAAGGGACAGCGGCCCGGGTGGAGCTCTCAGCTGGGCGTGTTCCTTGTTCCGTGATAGCACTTAGAGAAAACCGTGCCCGAAGAACGTCTTTTGAAAGAGTTCACCTCAGAGAAGCAAAGATACATTGCTAGAGTAAGGGTTATGGTGTCACTTGGGCACCTTGATTCGAGCCGCCTCGGAACCCAACGGAGTGTCCTAAGTTAAGAGTGAAAGTATCCACCCTTAGTGGTAAATGCATAATAGGAGAAATGTGCAAATAAACAGTCAGTACGACATGAAACATTTAAAAGTACCCACTTAATTAGCAAAGAGGTTGTTTGGAATCTTAGCAACAGTTTGGTTCACCATTGAGGTGAAAGCTCTCAAAGACAGGGCCTCTTGATTTTGTCCCTGTCTGCAGAGATCACAGCTATATCTTGCTGTTGCAGTAAGTGAGCATTGTGGTTTGTTGTGGATGTCATATTTCCGAGGGAATTGTGGAAATGCAGAGTACAGCACTCCAGTGGGGTGAACCAATGAACTTAGTAGGAAAAGAGCAATGCGTGCCAGCAAAATTCCAACATCCAACAGCAAAACTGTATTATTTCTGCTGCTGAGAATCCTGAAGTACCTTTCAGTAAGGGCAACTTAGTGTAAAAAAATGCCTTCAATAATAGAATCAATTGCAGTTGCCTTTGCTTGAGTTTCAGATACAACCACTATGCTTTAAGAGCATAGCAGCTTCAGCATTTGGCATTTGTTCATTGGTTTTAGCATTTGTTACCTCTTATGTCTTTGGGGGCACACATGCAAGTCTGTCTGGCAATAACATATGATTGAAGAGAAGAGGCTTTTAGTGAGCTCCCAGAAGCTCTCTGATGTGGAAAGTATGTAGAAAAAATATAGTCAGCTTAATGTTTTGTAACAATTTATTATTTGCTCTTGACATTTGATCATCCAATATTAGAATTATTTAGCTTGGAAGGGATCTCTGTTGCTCATTTGTTCAATTCCCTGCTTAAAGCAGTGCTGTTATCAAAGTTAGAGCAGGTTGCTTCAGGCCTTGTCTGATTATACTTTCTTTTTAAGGATTTGGAGTTGAAAGTTGGATGTGAAATTTAGCCAGATTTGGAACAAAGTGTCCCAAATTTTGGAAAGTTGTGTACACAAAATTCACATTGTTATGGTTTTCCTCAGAGACAGCTTTTCTGTCAAAGTCTTACTCCATATCAAAAGTGTATGTGTGGCTTATCTCTTGAATGTAACCTCAGGATTACTCACTTTAAAAAAAATCAGAGATATTCTAGGATTAAAATTATTTTTGCCTTACTTACTATACTTACATGGAATGAACAAAGAAATTTTAGAGGCAGCTTCTCCCTTTGCTCCCCACAGAAAAATGAACCTTTATTCATATTTAGTATCAGCTAGAGTAATCCCTGTGGTTACCTTATGATTCCATTGAGGCACCTATAGAATGGTGACTGACTTCTTGACAATGGGTCTGCTGTAATTGCTGCCAATGAAGTTTTTGTCTAACCCCATTTTTTGACACACCCCTGTGTGACCTCCCCACCCTGCCCTTTAGCTACAGGAATAAGGAATATTCTAATAGCATCTCACTAAAGCATAAGGGCTTCCAATAGCCCTCACAGATTCGAGTCCTCATAACCTTTGAGTGCACCTCTACATTCATTTCTTGTGTCTTCGGATAGAAATACAATATTGGGGTTTTTTTTGTTTCTCTTTTCTTAATTCACTTTATTCATGTTTTATGGCAGGTTTTCATGGGGTTCTACATGAACCTCTTTGTAGTTCATTTCAGCTTTGAGAGATTGATAAGTAGGGTCCTTTAAATTTCGTATTTCTAAACCAAGTTGATATTAATTAATAGTCCACATAAATAATTCCATCCTTTTATTGCAGATTCTCTCTCGACCTGCAGCAAAACAACTCCACAAAAAGAAACACCTTCAGAACAAAGATGAATATTGGGAAAGCTTACAGTGCTGCTAACATCAGCAATGGAACAGATCTAGCTATTGGCTTTACCTCTTCCACAGTAGCTGTCCTTCTATTTGGGACAAACTTTGTGCCTGTCAAGAAATTTGATACTGGTGATGGTAAACTTAATTATATTCTTTTCTTTGGTTTGCTATTTTTGCTAAAAGGAATATTATTTTACCAGCAAATTACTAGAGGCCATCATCACAGTCTTAATCCAGAGAGTATGTTTAATTTTGTCTGCTGTTCTTAGGGTATAAAGCAATAATACTGCTTCAGGATGTGGCATATCTTTAGAAGAGCCTTTTTATAAGTTGTGCACTTTGACAGTGATGATGTACATTTCGTGAGAATTTCACAATGGAAAGTGAAATGTTCTTTGTTCTACCCTTGTGGGGATTCTGATACATTAAGTGTAATTTATAAATAAGGTAAAAGTTGGACTTTGGAGCATTGCCATTCAATTGTGCACCTAATATAAAAACAAAAACTGAAATTTTAGTAATTTTATTTTCTGACTTGGTAAGAGAAAGTAATCATTCCTATTTCCTACTTGGATTATTGTTACTTTACTAGGTTTATTTTAAATGTTCATGTTTATATGAAGCATATATGAAGCATAACCAATTACCAGATCTGTAGATGAGTAAATTTGCCATTATATTATTGCAATATGGTACCTGCATCACAGGATGGATATAACTTCTGCTCTTTGTGCCAAATATGACCCTAACAAGACAAGCTTGGTCATAAAGTTAACTGGTCTGCCTAATGGACCCTTCAAGAATCTACAGAGGTAGACTTCAGTGAGGGAAGAGATCTGTCACTGACCATCCTGACCAGCCAGGATTACTGGAAAAGCTTGAGCTTTGAAAAAGTCTCATCCTGTGCAGTCCTCTGTGTTAGCAGCTACTGGAGTGGTGAGAAAAGTTTGCAGCAACTGAATAACTGAATATTTGTCAGAAGTATATCAAAGGTTTCATGTGTTTCAGAATTAGGGCTTGTGTAAACTGTGGCCAGTGAAGTGTCTTTTGCAACTCTGTAGGAAGAATGTGATAAGGTAAATGTTAACCAAATTATAACGCACCCTAAAAATACATCCCTTGAATAAATTGTAACGGGTTCTCTGACACAAAGGCAGTGGCCACCTTTTTGATTTTTTTCTCTACTACTGTGTGGAAGATAAACAGTCTGTTAAGAAATTCACACATGCAGTATTCTACAAATTCCCTATTGTGTGCATTTGATTTTTCCACAGGCATGTTCTTCCAGTGGATTCTCTGTGCCTCCATATGGATAGTTTCTTTGGTGGTCAATTTGATCCAGAATTGCCCCCGGTTTTGGCCTCTCGCTATGGTTGGAGGTTTTGTGTGGGCTACTGGTAAGGATATACAGATTCCAATTCTTGAAACTTTTCCATATATAAGATAGTAGTTATTTAATAGTTATTCTGTTCTTTAAAGCCTCACTGTTAATGGAACTGTACCCTTATAGTAAATACTGTTTCATTGTGCTTATTTTATAAGAGGCAAATTCACACCAGAAATAACATTTAAAACTACATGGAGTAACACTCTATGTTCAGTGTATTTATTTTTTAAAAACATTGTTTCTTACTGCCTTGTAGCTTCCTGATTTTTTTTGCCTTACAACCAGGCACAGAACCTAAAGCAAAGATATACAAGATCACATTCTATTTTTTTACTGATTTCAGTTTTGGTTTTTATATTTCAGGCAATGTTACAGTTGTCCCTATTGTTAAAACTATTGGCTTAGCTCTTGGTCTTTTGATATGGGCTTCTTTTAATTTGCTGACAGGCTGGGCAAGTTCAAGGTAAGTAAGTACGTTTTAAATCTTAAGTCCTTAATTAATTAAAAACATAATTAATGTTGCCAAGTCTTCATTAATCAGTGAAAACTCACCTGTAGAATCATAGAGTATTCACATTGGAAAAGACCTTTAAGATAATCAACTCCAGCCGTTAATGTAACACTGCCAAGTCTGCCACTATCCTATGTATTGAAACTTTTTTCTTCGTAGTGGAAAGCACTCCGGTTAACTGTTTTAGCTTTTTGTATTTCCTCTGTTTTAATAATAAGAAGAATGCCCCGTGATGTTGCTTTGTCGATAAATAACGTATTTATAAATGTAAAACTAGTACATATTTGTGTTTTTTTCTTCTACAATGTGATCTGATAAAATAACTTCAGTTTTTAAATATACATATTAAAAAAATACATGTGGAATTAAAGGTTGTTTTTGTAAAGTAGACATAGCTTTTTGCAAGCCAACTGAAGCACTGATGTAATACTGAAAATATATACTTAAGCAGAATTATTTACACGAGTCAAGACTTCAAGGGCTAGGTTATAATATAACTATTTGTATAAAGTCAGTGCGTCTAAGTAAAACTGGTTAAATGTTACAGGTTTGGTTGGTTTGGAATTGACCCAGAAGAGGTATCAAGACCAATTTTAAATTATATTGGAGCTGGACTTTCACTTATAAGGTAGAAGTTGATTCTTATAATGAATATCTGTTATGTAAAATTTATGTTTAATAACCAACCACCAAGATGATTTAACAAGAGAACAAATATATTGAAGAATTTTTGGCAAATCAGTTTACTTCCAAATTCATGAGCTGTCCATACCTAGTTGGTCAGTGTTCAGGTAGAAACAGACATGTTATCTAGTACAGGGGTGAAATGGTTATCCATAAACACGAAAATATGTTTTTATGCTGCTAGGCATGTTCAAGGCAAAGCAGAGATGCATGGATTGCCTCCCTAGCTATGTTATTCTAATGGTTCACTTTCCCCAAATCCTGTCAGAGGACAGACTGACTAAAAGAATCTTGTTGACAAAACCTCAGATTTTTGATCTCACTTCACTCAGTAAGGGATACAAATCTTCATCTCGTAAAAATAGAATATGCCACAGAACCTCTTCCATGGACCTTGGGGTCCATGAAAGGCCAGAGACTTTGCATGTTTTTCTCTCTGTAATAGTTCTGTGTCATGTAAGCCTTAAGCCACACTTCCAAATCCCACGCAGTGTCTTCCTTCAGGATCTTTGAAAGGACTTAATTCTTTCTTTTTGTGTGTTTGCTCTTTGTATGAATACATACATTTTGGTCTAAACCCAGAGGAAAGGGGATCTTTGTTGTGTAGCAGTGTTCTTGCTTTCCAACTGGGTGGCTGGGAAGATAGCCCTAAATCCTAAGGGCTTACTGTAAGCGTGCTGACAGAAGATGAAGATAATGCCTTTCAGAAAAGGAAGGTATTAAGGACATGGAGATAAGCTATTTCTGACTGGTAGGAGAGAGCTTTTGCCTTAGATTCAGGATTTTGTCTTCCACTTTTCTTATTTTCTAAGAGTCTGCAGCTTTGTATCCATTCCTGTTACACATGGCACTTGATTTTGGGAGGTACTGAGAAAATAGTAGCAGTACTGCTATTCCTGCCTGATGAATTCATGCAGCTCACCACCTGCTTCCTGTTCCTGAGATACCATGGAGGAGTGACCAACAGGGAGAGAGATTGTGAGCAAACATGTTTCCTTGGCAAACTGCACAAAGCCTGTGCATGTTGCTCTGTGGAGCTCAAAAGCAGGCTTTTCACTTTAGCTTCTGTGTGAAATCTGTATGTTTCCTCTGGAGGAAACTGACATCCTTTTGTAACTGTGCTTATTCCTTCAGTAAGAAATGAGTCCTTCTTCAAATGGAAATATTCTGTTTACAGCTAGAAGAAATTCCTAGATCATTAAAATATGTTTCATAAAAGTAAAAAACAGATCCTTCCAGTTCTGATTGCATGTATCTACCTGGTCTCCTGGAGGCAGGATTAAGAATAGTAATGTTACCCTTTCTTACCCATTTTATTCACTTAATGCACTGAGCAATATCCCTTTTCCTTCTGTGTGCTCACAAGGCCCTGTAGCAGCAGTATCCCATTCCTCACATCTGATGGAAGACTAAAAATTAGTATTTTTCTATGAATATAGAGGCAGTTCTATGCAGGTTTAAGCTGTTCCATATAGAATTTTCAAGCATGTGTTCCATTTGTGTGTGGTTTGATACAAAAAGGCAGTGTTAGCTAAAGCATCTGTTGTTAATGTGGTTGTAACTACACACTGTTAAAAGAAGATGTTTCAATCACATGGCATAAGAAGAAAGATCTATAAAGTGATACAAAAACTGATTTATTTATTTACTTTCACTCAGATTGTCTTTTAGCTAAGTTAAATTAATAACTTAAAATTATTACATTTATATCTTTTATATCTATATAATCATAGTAAGTTATGAATTTAAAGCAATTGCATTTTTTAAATATACTGCAGTGACTCTAGGATAATAATGAAAACAAAGGAATATGCTTCCAAATGAAACTTTTGTCTCTGGACACTAAATGTTATGTCCTTATAACTGACATGGTATTTATTGGTGTATTTTTCTCTTCTGAGTGCGGTCATATTTCTTTTTATAAAAACTGAAGTCCAGAGTTCTTCAACTTCATTAGAAAGCACACCTTTACTGAGAGAAAGTGTAAGTACTCTACAGTTGTTATTTTACAGTAGTGAAAATGCATATCCATGTTAAAACAAAAAATGCGTTTGTTAGGTTTGCTAGGATTTATGATTGACTACATAAAACAACATAAATATGTACTGATTGTATCTTAATCTGTGGATCTTGGATATCATTTTGGATATTAGCATCAGAAAAGGTATTCCCAACTGTTCTTTCTTGTTTGTCAGCTTTAGATGGCTTAGAAAGTCCTTCTTCATTATAATGGAGATTATATAGAAGAGTGTATTACTTTCTTATATGAAAAGAGGAAGCAATTTCAATTAAACATCAGTTGTAAAGCTGTGAGGGTGCTTAGGTGAAAGGCCAGGTTTTTGCCCTGTTTCAGAGCCAGGAGACTGTCAAGAGTTGCTGACTGTCATCATCAGCTGTGGCACAGGCTGGAGGCCAGTGAGGGGTATCAGGTTGGCTGTTGCTCCTTGGGGACCCCAAAGTATGCAAGGAGAGCTGGAGAGCCACAGGCTTCTCCTACCATTGTACAGTGGCTACCTGAACAGAGAGCCCTGAGAGTTTTCTAGCTGTGCTCAATGCTCACTAGAGGTCCCAGTCTACCAGACTGAATCACAGATGATGCATTAAAAAATTGCACATTTTAAGAAATAAAACTAAACTAAATTTGCATTAAAAGTCTTGCTTTTTTTGCAGTCTATTAATGTTTCTGAAGATACCACTGAGGACTCATGGGTGAATAAGCTTTCTCCAGCAAAAAGAAGACTCATGTAAGTTGCTAACAATTCTTTTGCTGATGCACAGAAAGTAGCCAGAGATAGTAGTTAACATGGTGTAAGAGCAGAATTTGTGTCCTGTGGTGTCCTAGCAAAGCCACACAATAAATAACAGGTTTTTACATATAAGTGTAGCATGCAAATCTATATATGAATAGTTGCACAGCTATTTAGATTATTCCGTTGGCACTGTTGAGTGTGTCTAACCTTACCAATCAAGTATTAGTACTATTGTGAAAAATATAATTTGGCAAAGGAAATAACAATATCAACTCAGTAATTACAGAGCTGGGTTTTAGCACCTAGTTGTTTAGCACTCTAGCATAGAAGCCTGTGCTAATGACATGCTTCCAGGTGTGGTTTCCAAGTGAATACATCTGGAGAAGGCATGGCAGCATGGTAAAGAGACAGTAAAAGTGCTCCGAAGTGGAAGCAAGCTAACAAGAAGCCAGTGTGGGGAGTGGAGACTGCCAAGAAGGGGACTGAACAGTCAACAAACCTGGGGAGTTATAAAGAATATATAGATGGCAACAACAAAGGTGAGGGTGGGAGCATTTTTAATTGAATTTTTGTTTGTTGTCCCCTAGCTCTGCTTTTAGGAGATCCTAGTTATTTAATTTCCCATGTCATTAATGTAGATTGCTGGCTTTTGCACCAGTAATTGCCTGTGTTGCTCAGCTACAAAGTAGAGGGAAACTATGTGAACCATTTCTCTACTAGAAAATAAAAATGTGCTAAAATGTATTATGTTTATGGCTAGCAATTTTTTTATGATGCACAATTTTTAGCTGCAGTACTGGGTTTACATGTATTGTCTAGTTCCTTAACTCATGCAAGGCTATTTTCTCCTATTTTTGTTCTTTTAAAGAGGCTGTAGTCTGGCTGTGGTGGCTGGAATACTCTACGGTTCCAGCTTTGTACCAGTACTTTACATCAAGGACCATGGAAGAAGAAATGAAACTGTATACACAGGAGCAAGTCAGTTTGGTAAAGGCATAATAGATTGCTTCTATTTCGTTTCATCATTGTGTTCTCCTGCCTTTTTGAAGGCATAGGGTGAAATTCTTGATATGCCTGAAAATACACTGTGACAATTTATCAGTTCTGCACTACTTTAGATGTTATCATAATCATAACCCTAGCACTCCCTTTTTCTCAGAGGTGAATTACACCATAAAAAACACAGAGAAACAGCCCAAAGACTACCATACTTAACTCACAGGTATGTTTCTGAAGGCATTAAATACTAGCATTCTCAAAATACAGCGTTTGTATGAGTGGAGAATGAGTTAAACTAGGACACAAGCTTGCAAGTTGCCAACAGCAGTAAAGGAAGAGAAGATTGATCATAACTGATGAGGAGAGCAGATATGTAACAATGTAAGTAATTAAAACCATGGTTTTTTTAAATTGAAACAGTTTAACATAAGCCTAATTGCCATTTTTAAACAACATTCCCCCAGAAACATTTTCCTTAAGGTTCAGGTTATACTCTATCAGGTAATGCCTGAAGCACCTTAAGAACAAAGCACTGCTGAGAACACATAATGTCGCCATTGTCATCTACAGTTTCTCTTTAATACTGCAATGTATGTATTCCCCAGCCAGGCAAAACAGATGTTGTCATTACCATAGCTGCCATTCCTGTTGAGAGCTTATAGCTCCAAGGAGACAAGGATCACCTTGCTACATGCTTCTGCTTTACCATGTTGGAAATAATCACTTAGCATGTACAAAATCCATAAAGGATTTGTTATTGTTCATAATTGTAGTGATCAAAATTGTGATACATCCATCAAGACTGAAAAAGGACAAAACTGAGTTATGTCTAGCTTACATAGTCTGTGCAGTTGTCTTGCCCTTAAATATACAGAGCAAAACAAGGATACAGGAATACAGGAACATAATTGCAACTTCTCTTGACCATCTACCATTACGTAAAATCCCCACCCCAGTTTTGTAGCCTCACCTGAGGATTTTCTCAAGATTTTATTAAGTTAATTCAGGAATATATAAGAGATTTCTGAAAATAATAGCTCATAGAAATGTTTAGAAGCCTGTAATAAGTCAACACAGGATTTAAATAATGTTTAATAGGTGTCATTGATTGTATGCATCCAGACTGGCAGCTGTGTTGAGCACAATGAGATTTGAATTTGAATTCTTAGGAGTAGCACCTTTATGCATTTTTGTCTATATGAATGTTATCAGTGAATATAAATTTGTTAAAATTAAATTAACAAATTAACAAATTAATTTTTTAAAAAGTGTTTTTACTAACATTTTGTAATTTCTCTTTCAGATTTAGATTATGTTTTTGCACACTTCAGTGGAATATTTCTTACTAGTACCATCTACTTTTTGATCTATTGTGCAGTCAGGAAGAATAAACCTTATGTTTATCCCCAAGCCATATTGCCAGGTATGACTGTTTTTTAAATCAGCATTTAATTTCAGCTACTCTTTAGACCATTTTGCAGTGATTAGTTCAAGTTGTGTGTTGGAACTGTGGTTCACCTTTCAAGTATCTTCATTTGACTTGTCTCTTTTGAAAGAGCACTAATAGGTTAATTAATTAAGGTTAGGAGACAGTGATAACTTTGTTCTAATCTGAAACAAGAACAAAGTGACATTGCAGCTTTTCAAAAACTGATTGCCAGAGTGGAGAGGCATTGCCCAGAAAATAATAAACTTAAATTAATTTGCTGCTTCAGTTGGAGGAGCTGATTTTTATCCTTCGAGCTTTGGTTTAGTTTGCCAGAGCCAGCTTTTTAAAGTAGTTAACTTACTAAAATACTTACATACAATTGCTGCATTATGCTATAAGTATAAAACTTCCACAAACTGCTGCCTGTACCTTGCTATGCATGTTTTTGATTGGGATTTATTTCTCTAGGATTTGTTTCTGGTGTGCTTTGGGCAATAGCCAATTGCTGCTGGTTCCTAGCCAATCACTATCTCAGTGCTGTTGTCAGCTTTCCAATAATTACTGCAGTAAGTATATAAAAAATAAAATCTCTAACTAGAATTAAAAGTGAATGGGTTTTTTACCCTTCTGTCTTTGGAACTGAGTTGAAATTATGGAGGGTCTAGAGCATTCTTGGTCAAAAGTATAGAGTGCCTCCTCTGCTTGTCTGCACTAGTCTTTGGATTTTTAGGAACATGAATGACTGTGGCAAGCACCATCTTGGTCAATATCAAGCATAAGAAAAACCAGACTAATTGAGAGTGTGAATCTTCAGGTTATGTAAAAGCCAAAGCTTTCTAAGCAGAATTATATCCACTATTTAATTGAAGTGATTATAAGAAGGATTTTTTATGGTTTCATCCGAGGAAGTACATTCTGATCTGGATGTTTTTGAATTTGTGAATTTTATCTGCTAGTAGTGGTTTTCCTTGCTTAATTCAGGCATTTTTTCTTTTTACAGTTCTTGAACAAATAGAACAGATTATGTACTACCGAAAACAATGTTCTTATTTAAATGTGTGGAAAATAGGTTGTCCTGTTCTGTCTGTGTTTTATTCCTGTTTATGATGTACCTTTAAATCATAAATTCCAATTCCTAGGTAAAAGTAAACTTTGCATTTGCTCTCTTGACACTGCACTAGCTGGTAATGCAAAGGTGGCAAATGTGAGTTAATAAATATTAAGACCAAAGTTTTGCTTAACAGCTGTATTTTGGAAGCAAACTAATGAAGCAATTTTAATAGGAATTAAGCTTTGCCTCAAGATGCAGTAAGTCAAAATATACTCTGCAGTATGCAATAAAAAAAAAAAAAAAAACTTGGGATCATTCTAATTAGAAATTGAAGGATTAATAGAAAGCAGCTTTAGTAATTTAGTTATCAGTATGCCTAAAGGGCAAGGATGTAAAAACACAAAATGAAAAATATAAGGAAGCACTGATGAGAAACTACCTATCTGGATGACAGGTTCAGAATTGCTGCTTTATTTCACTCTGCAGAAAAATTTTTAGAGAGGTATTCATCACATCCCTTTATCACTTCATTCAATTTTTTTAAAGTGCATTCCTCTCACAGCGCACATTAACTATAAAGTGAAATAACCCCTCAAATAATAGTTGGCAAAGTCATTAGGAAACAGCACCCACACATATATTCAGCATGAGACACTGTTTGCTGTTTATATCTGTGTCCCATCAGCTGTATTGATGATGAAGAGAGGAAGGTCACTGGCCAAACATCTGACAAGTGTTTCTCGGAATAGCTCTAATGCACAGCATTAAAAGAGCCAGTTTTTGCTTCATGGTCAGATATTTTCTCATTAGAGATGAAAATTCGGATCATTTCTCTCTCAGGGGAAGAACTCTATTACCAAGAGTGCCTGGAATTTGCTGTTGTGTTTCACTGTTTGCTGTTAGCCAGGAGACCTCTACAATAACATCACTGAAAATCAGGAGTTTCCCTGACCTGTCTCCCTGGCTGGCTTTGTACTTTGTCCAGATGCCAGCTATACAGGAAATACATCTATGTTTCAGTCTCCTGATATCATACTGAGGAATAAAATCAAACTTTGTCCAGTAGTTAGTCATGCTAATAAAGGAAACATTAGGAAACACTGTGGACTCTAATTTGGACTGAAGTGAGGCATGTGATTTGGAGTCTACTGAAAGAGCATGTAACAGCTGGAGCAGACTCTGCAGTGTAATTTAGAAAGATGTTGTGCCTACTGCAAAAAAAAAAAAAAAACAAAAAACAACAGTTTCTAGACTCTTTAGCCCTTCTTGAAGATTTTATTGTATCGTACTTAGTAAATAGTTCAGTGATGTTTATGCTTTTGTGCTTTATTTACACAGAATGGAAATACTTAAATGTGTTCTCCAGACAAAATTAAACCACCCTGAGAGCAGTAATGAGATGGAGCAAATTTTAATGAAATGGTGAAATGTACAAATTTATCTTATTCTTTAGGGTCCTGGCCTTGTTGCTGCAATGTGGGGAGTCCTTGTATTTAAGGAAATTAAGGTAATGTAATTAGGTCTCTCACCTAATATCTCTTGTTTGCCTCGAGCTCTAGAGAGAGCATGTCTTGGTACACAGCTGTATCTCAGATTCCTCCTCCTTGCAAGTATTACATTATGAAACTGAAAGTGATATCCAGCCATATTAAGTTTTCTAAGAAACCTGAAGAACTGTGAACAATTTTTACAGAAATGAAAGTTTTAGTTCCATAACTGTATGAGGAGCAGTGAGTGTAAATGAAGACTCTAGCACAGCCAGGAGGCAGGATGCCAGGCACTGCCTGAAGACAGTTTTCATTTCAGCCAGTTCTTTTAGTGGAGCAGGGGAATGAGCAGTTGTCCCAATAATGCATCAGCAAGTGTATTTTGTTTTTAGTGTCAGGTTCAACAAATGATGTAAAAATGCACAGGTATTGTAATTACAATTATTATTATATTGTAATTATTATTACAAATATTATTATTACTATTGCAAATATTATTATTGTAATGACCTTTGTAATTACAGTGTAATGTAAAGATACTAAATTGATACCAGGTTCTTTTTGCCAATCTGTCCAGGATCCACAGGTACATAACTTGGATCTAGAACTAGAAGTTCTGTGTCTCGTACTGCAGATTAGTGTTGCACCACAGTAGAAGATCATAATGTTCATTACCCAAATCTGGAACTCTCTAAGCCTTTCATTCTTTTCATATACTCTCTGCCTTAATTAAACTTAGTACTTTGTTCTGTTCTTTTTTTCATGTGGTGTCAATATGATATTTTCATTTTTCTCTTCTTTTGCTTGTACAGGGACTGAAAAACTACGTGTTACTGTCAGTATCATTTTGCATCATTTTGGCAGGATCACTTTCCACAGCTTTTTCTAAAGTCTGAAAGGACCTTCTGGACCAGCAGGTGGTGCTAGCATTCAACACAAATGCAAAGACTGTGTTGGTAGATCACAATACATAATATTTTTCAAAATGTATGTCCAACATTTACCCTAACTTACTTCAGCCAGGTGGAAAATGAAAACATTTGGCGTGAAAAAAAATATGGAAATAGTTGTTTCTGTTTCTCTTGGAATAGTAAGAAAATCAAAGGACTTTATTAATCAAAGCTAAATTATTTTACTGTTACTAAATATTTGGTTTTTTTTCATTCAGGTGCTAAACTTCATGTCATCATAAATTGCAGTTTACTGCTGTGATGGTGGATAATGATTTTAATTCTAGTCTGTAATACTGTATGTGTTTGCAAGCTGATTTGTTTTATTAAAACATTTTATTTTACTGACTTAAATATAAGATGCATCTTGAAATATTCCTTATGAAACTGATACATATGAAGATAATAAAGATTTTCTTTTATTTAGAAGCATTATTCTTTAATTCATTAGTTTACATTAAAATGTTATATTTCCCTTCACTTCAGATTTATGAAGGAATTTGAGTAAAAACAGTGCTGCAAAATAAAATACTTTTGTTTCACAACATTTTCCGTAACCAACACTTAACAGGTACGACTGTGTATTTTCTTACTTTTGGCAGCTAACCTTTATGTATGCAGAGCATGTTATCTGAATCTCTCCTTAGCCTTTTCTTCAGTACGTTAGGCAAGCCCAGCTTCTTCAGTCTTCTCTTGCTCGTAACTTGCTTGCAATTTCTCTGTGTCTTTCCTGATAATAGAATGGAAGGGATTTCAGAATCATCTAGGTCCAACCCCTCTGCCAAGGAAAGGGATGCAATTCACTAAACCAGGTTGCTGAGGTCCCCATCCAACCAGACCTTGAACACTTCCAGAGATGAGGCATTAGCAGCTTCTCTGGGCAGCCTATTCCAGTTTTTCACCACCATCTCAGTGAAGAATTTCATGCTAATATCTAATCGGAACCCAACCTCTTTCAGTGTAAAACCATTGCCCCTTGCCTTGTCACTATCTGCCTGTATAAAAAGTACCTCTCCCTCCTTTTTATACACTGCCTTAAGCTTCTGGAAGGCTGCAGGGAGGTTTCCCTGAAGCCTTGTCCATGCTGATCTCTCACTAAGTGGACTGGGTCTGTGTAGAGTACCAAAACATGGCAGTCAGGCTATTAGCCAAACACCAAGAAGAGCAGCTGTAAGACTATGGGTGTTTTTTCCCCATCCAATTTGCAAGCTCTGTTCATAGTTACACATCACAGCTGTTTGCCATCATGGCTTCATATTGTTGAGATTGCAAAAATAATTTCTCCTTTCTCCCTTCACCTTTCTTTGTCTGCTCTGCAGCAGATTTGATTTTAGAACTGTTACTCAACCTGCTTTATCCTATCTTGCATTGTTTATTTCTACCTAGGTATCAGAATTTGGTGTCTGACAGTTTTTTCCCCCTCTAAGGCATTTCTCCAGTTTTGGTCTCTATGTTAACCTTGTCCTCCAACGAGGCAGCAGCATTTTTCAGCCAGATGTCATCTGCAAATTTAATAAACGTACTCTCTAATTGCTATACATAATTAATGAAAATGCTGCATGATACTGGCCTTTACTTACATTTTGGTATCTAATACTTCTTTTTACTTTTCAGGGAACAATTAATTAACCTTTGAGTACAATTTTCCTGTATCTTGCAGTGCTTTTGTTTAGACTTCATTCTCAGAGCTTTTACATAACATCTGGTAGAAAAGTCAAGGTACATGATGTTTTCTACACTAATACCTGATATTGAACTGAAAACTGGATTTTTTTCTGTCCAGTACCCAGGTCAGGCACAATTTCTCCTTGACAGATGCTTGACTGTTACTTACCTAGCCATTATTCTACTGACTCAGACAAGGAAAAGTAATACATGCACTGTGGTTTTGAAATAGCTTGAATTAAGTGGAACATTTATTAATTTCATTTGTTCTGTTTAATTTCTTAAAGATCACAGTCTTAAGGCTTCCCTTCTTAAATATTCCGGGAATATATTCCATGCCAGAAAGTTGGTGATAGACTAAAGAATTGGAAAAACCAAAACACAATATCCTCAGGCTCCTCAGCCTTACAGATAGGTTTAGTAAGGCAGTGAGGTGCATACTCTTCACCAGTTTATGTATAGTAAGTTACTAATGCCTCAGTCCTGCTCCCTAGGAGGTGCAAAGGCAGTAGCAGGACAATCTGCCTTGGCCAGCAAGTGACAGCAGCAGGAGCAGAGGGGCAGGTGCCTGCCCTGCACAGCCCCTGTTGCCCCCCAGACCCTCTCTGGCCAGAGGGAAGCCGTGCTCTCAGTAAGCAGTGAACTCTGCAAGGAACGTCCCTCCTGCTTCAGGCAGGCTCTGCTCGGGGCCCTGCACTGGCTGTTCCAGTGTCCCTGCGTGGAGCATGGCCAGAGGCTGCTGGTTTTCCAACCATGCTTGCCTGTGCCTGGTTGCACGGATGCAGGCATGCTACCAGAGTTTTTGAAGCTCAAGGGCTTCGTGGTGTCTGGAATTAAGATCACTTTAGGTAAAGAAATGTCACTTTTAGATGAAGAAAAGAAACTTGGGTGCAATACTCCATGCTGAACTGTATGGGAGATGTTATAAACCTTACATTCTGTTCATCATCTCCATAACAGCCATGATTTTAAAGGCTGGGATATAATATTTACTCCAGGAAAAAATTGCAACCAAACTAGTAACCAGAGGGGTTTTCTTCACAAATAGACATGGACCCAGTTCATTCTGGAGAAGGTATGTGCTCCTGTGCCTGCCATTATTTCCATGATGATGAGAGACAACTTCCACCCTTTCTGCTTTGCCTTTCCCCCATCCTCCACACATTCCCTGGGACAGATGACCTTACAGCCTCTGCTGTCTCTCTTGGGGGATGCTGTTAAATTAACTTCTAATATGGACACATTCATCTACTGGATAGGATTACAGAAAACAGGTAAATCTTCCAGGGTAGGAGCACCTTTGCATTTCCTAGTTTTTGTACAAGATAATTGCTTTCCTGAAAGGAAAAAAAAAATGGAGGGGAAAAAAAAAAACACCTGAGCTCCTATCCATAGCAATTGCCATGTAAATAAATGTTTGTAGTCTGATGCAGTTCTCCAGTCTATGTTGTAAAGCTATCAGATGTGCAGACTTAATTGCTGACTGCTAGGGTGTTAATTAAAATTCTTGCTTGTGATAGCTCAAGTATGACCTTTATGAAAATGTTCTTTAGAAGTTATCCTATTGGATTTGATTTGTTGACTGCAAGAAAAAAATCCCACCTCTTCCAGCACTTTTCTGTGAAAAATCCCATGTGGCATTCCAAAACAGTTTTTGTAATGTTCATTTGGAATATGTTGTATAAATATTCCACTCATTTCTGAGATTTTCTTGGTCTTGATGTTTCCAGTTAGAAATAACACTGATACTTCTTTCATGTGAGGATGCTGGATTAACAGCATGTTTACAGAGTTAGTTGTACAAAACAGTCTGGAAGTAACTTGAGTTTAGTAAGAGAAAATTCTACAGTTAATATAAATTGTCATGGTTCTGTTTATACCAACTTGTTTTTGTATAAACGGAAGAATCACATCTCTTGGAGAAAACTAAGCTTTCAAATATTTGTTTATGCCTGTTCAGCAACTTTTAAGAATATACTTGAGCTTGCTTTAAGAATTTTTCTCTGGTAATACTTAGAGTCAAAGTGGCCTGTAAAATATAGGTAAACTGGGAGTATTTGAAGATTTTTATTCAGTCTTGTGAACTGGGGAAATCGGTGTTATCTTTTTTTAGGTTTCTCTTACCTCCTTATTCCTTTACCTGTGTTAAGTATCAATGGATATTTTGAGGCTCACTGCCCTTCCAGAGTTTTATTCCTTCGTATTCTTAGTAAAAATTATTGTACCTGGAAAAATCATTTAAAGACAATTGCTCCTGTCTTCAAAAGTAAACAGGGAAAACTGGTGCTTTTTTTAATCCTAGATAAATTTTATATTTTCTTTGTATCATAATTTTCTTTTTCAACTGAAATTCGAGATTGATTAAGTACTATTTCAACTGTCTGACCTGATCCTTGAGCTTTCTTGCATCTGGCCTGAAAATAAAAAGAAAATTAAGATGATGCATGCTAACAATTAGTGTCTTCCTTCTTTTCATTTTGACCTTGTTTTCAAATAGAAACCTGATGTTTAATTCCCTATTCCATAATTACTGAATTACTAATGGATTACATCTTCCTTTAGCTATATGTAATGCTGATAGATAGTGACTACAGAGCATTTTATTTTAATTGCTGAAGTGATGATTCCTACATTTTTCATGCTTATCATAAAACATTTTTAAAAATCTAAAATATATTTAATTTTTAATGTAAATACCAAACAGTTCTTGTGTCTCTTGCTGCTCTGAAGGGCCTGTTTGAAAGTCTAACCTGAGAGAGGAAATAAAGGAAATAGGACTTGCATTAGTCCTGCTGCTATCAGTAATTCAGACAGTCCTTGTGCAAGTAACTTGGCATGGCCTCAGGTGTTAGTATCCATATAGGAACTGATTCACTGGTACTGACATAAGCCATATCTAGAGATACTTATTTCTCATGTCTCAGGCTGCAGATCTTCTAAAAACATTTCCTGCAGAACTAAGAAACAAACCACACATCTTCCAGGACCAAAGCAGGGAAGATGTGCAGAAGGAGAGATTTTTCACTTCTTAATAATATGAGAGAACTGGTGGCAGCAATTTTTCTGTGCCCCTTGGTTTGCTGCAGTGAGTGAAGCTGTCACAGCACTCTGAGCTAGTCTCACTGAGCCTGTAAGCAAACCTCAATTGACACCATTCAGGGATCAGAATAAAAATATTGCTGTTTGTGGATGGAGGCTGGGGAGAGGAGCATTTGTTCAGGAATTGCAGAATGATAACTGCTCCCTACATGTATTTGTACACCTGGGATTTGATCCCAGCCAAGAAAGAGCCCTGGGAATACAAAGGCCACAGGCTCTTCACAGATCCATCTTAGGAGAAGGTCTGATCTACTCCTTAACTGGATAGCAATATTTCACATCAGGTGATGCTCTGACTCTGCAGGTTATTTTCCAGTTGATTTTGTGTGCAGTTGAACGGCTGGAATTTGTATAAAAGCATATCATGGCTTATGTTCCTTAAAGCACTCTGTGCTTGTCAAGTTCAAAGGAAATGGTTTAGACTGTTGGCTTATCTTCCTTCCAGATGTACTTGCAGTGAGCATGCATGACCTCATCATCAATTTCTGCTTCAGATGTTTGTGTCTAGCATTTTCAAGCGAAGTAGTTGAAATTTAGTGCATAAATCCAAAAACTAGCATTTCTATCTAACTAAAGCTTTATCTGATTAAAAAATAGCCTTGTTTGAATGTTTCTAGAAGTTGGCAGCGTAACACATTATGTGATGTTGGTAATGTGAACAACAA